GACTCTGGAGAGTAGGCAAGTGACAGTCGGGGCAGGGGTCTAGCTTCTCTCCAGTCTTCACCCATGCCTCGAGCTGCAGATGGAAGGTGCAGCTCATGTGGACCCAATCCTAATCGGGATTTAAGTGGTACCTTTAGCGCAGGGACCACCAGATTGAACTCGCAGTCACGTGAAGATAAGCGCAGAGGTTACTAGGGATTTCTCAACGTCGCGTAAAGGCAAAACACGGTTGGTTGGTTGTCCCGGCGCATCACTACCGATCGCAGAGGGCCCTGAACTTGCGCAAGTGCACACTTCATCCCCACCCTCTTCCATTGGGAGTCGACAACGCGTTTTACAACACACATATTCAGGCAGTTCTTGTCGCAACACCTCGCGCAACCTTCTCCAACAACTTTGGTCCTGTAGAAGAACTCGAAGCTCTTCTGCGAGCCTCACACCGGGCTACGATCTCGAACCAGTGAACCCGACTTTGCTAGCAGGCTGCCCGTCAGTTTGCCTCACTCCGAACGTACACTTCCATCTGCGCGTCCACTAACAGGGAAACAGCAGCCTGCTCGATCGACCGACCCATCATGGCGCCCAAAGAAGCTGAGGTCGAGCTTCATGCTATCAGCCGAACCCCCGAGTATGAGGACTTCATGGCCAAGCTGAAGGCCTACCACCAGGAGCGGGGCACTGCTCTAGAGGCCGAGCCCAAGGTCGGACCGGTATATCTCGACCTCTACAAGACTTTCACCCACATCTGCGCGAATGGTGGCTATGATAAGGTGTCTGATGAGAAGCTGGCCTGGCGCCGGATGGCCGAGCAGCTCGGCATCCACTCGTCCAATGTTGCCTCAACTGCCTTCTCGTTGAAGGAGAAGTACTACAAAAACCTTGCTGCATACGAGATTAAATTCTTCCACGGCAAGGAACCTCCTCCAAAGGACATTTTGGAGGATGTCTCTGCTAAGGGTGGTGGTCTTTTGTCTCGAACCAGAGAGAACTTCCGTGGAGCGAAGCGCGACAGTGGCACGGCTGCTGACTCTGCCGCGGCTTCTGGCGATGATGGCACCCCTACACGAGAGCGCCCGACTCCAGATGCGGCACCAACGTCCAGCGTGAGAGCTTCTCGTGGCCTACGCGAGGCACCGCCCCAGAGAGTCATCTTTCAACCCGATACAGGCCCTGCTAGGCCGACTCGCCACGTCTCTGGCCAACAGCCGAGCCACCTCAACACTCCTACCCCAGGCGGCCATTCAGGTAGTCATCATGGAACACCGCAACAGGTTCAGCACACTCCCGTGCCTCTTCCTCACCAACCAAGAGCTCCACCGCGTGGACCGAGCGGCAGCTATAATCCGCCCAACCCAGACAACACGTCGGCATCAGTTGAATCTTACCTTCCCCGCTCGCTTCAGCCACCGAACCAGCAGCACGTTCTCCCCATGCGCCCTGTCGATACACCAAGCAATAATCCGGCCGAATTTGCTCGCCGCCGACATGTAGCTCGCTCCCTCCTGGAGCCTCCTCGCCGCAGTGGACCCTATCCTGGAGGTAAAGACATCCTCACTCTCTCGTCAAAGTGTATCAAGCCGTTAACTTGTGTTCAGTTGGATTCGAAGGACCAAATATCTACATTCGCTGTCTGATGGCTTTGCGCTCTGCCATCTTTGAAGAGCAGCAGTTCGCGCTCTACCATTTGGTCAAGATCAGTTATGAACGCCACGACAAGTTCAAATTCGAAGGCTTCCCCGGCCTCAGCGAAGGTCTCGTCGAAAAGGTTCTGGAGATTGGCAGCATTTTCTATGATGTCAAGTGGAAGATCTCCTGGGTTTCGCAAAACGCCGCCGACAATTTCGACACCCTCGATGGCAATGAAGGAACCGAGGACATTCTGGAACGTATCGACAGTTTGGAGCCAAAGGAAGTCAACGAACTCATTGTGCCTGAGCACCTATCTGATCAGATGGTCCTCGTCAATGAGGCTGCTTTGACTCTCAGGAACATGTCACAGCTCCGTGAGAATGCTGCACACTTGGCTGAGTTTTTGCCGATCAAAGACCTGATTTGCATTGTCTTGAGTCTCCCCAAGCACGAGTGGTTGGTTGAGTTGAAGCACCAAATGTTGGACATTGCAGAGGCTTTGACACCCTACTTGGAGATTGACTCTCGCGATCCCCTCTACAAGGTCCTCATGAAGCAACTGAAGGGCTCCGACGATCGGGGTATCATTCTCACGGCTCTTCGAGCACTTGGTCGTATCTCGATGAATCTTGAAGCCACCAACAGGCTGGACAAGGTTCCTACGGCTATCTTGACCAAGATTAGCGAGCTGATGCTTCTGAATGACGACGAGCTCAAGGATGCTTGCCTCGACTTCCTCTACCAGTACACTGCGGTTGTCGGCAACGTGGACAATTTGGTCAAGTCTCTTAACTGCGAGCACCTGATCCATCATCTTGTTCGTCTGCTTTCGCACAATGCTAGACGATACCAGGTCGAAGAGGTTCTGAAGCCTGCGCCGAAACCGGCCACCAGCAACGACCCGGCCGCCATGCCTGAAGACCTGTTACAGGATCTATTGAAGCTAGAAGAGCCGGAGAGATGCAACCAGTGGGTCAAGTGCTTCTTCGAGGAAGTCAACGACTCTTTTGTCACCCAAATCGCAGCTTGGCAGGCGTACCAGAATGCCTTCAAGGCCGCTCTGCAGGCCATTGACCAGCCTCTCATCACTCCGGCAGACTTCATCAGAAACAGCTGTGCGGCGTATAAGAGCTCCAAGGCTGAAGTGTGGGCTGGCACTGGAAATCCCGGCCAGGTTCAGCAGAAGTTCATTATCCGCGGAATCCAGTGTCGACTTCGACCTGTGGGCCTAGACGGCCGGGTCTTTGTCCGTTGTCTATGGGACTCGGCTTCTGGTCGACCCAACGAAAAGTGCGGTCACTTTTTCGGAACCAAGGAGACCATGTGGAAGCATGTCGTTACTACCCATCTCAAGTGGGTTCGGAATGATAAGGGTGGTTTCGACAACAAGGAGGAAGAGGTGAGATGCCAGTGGGCTGACTGCACCAAGTACAAGAAGCCTACGAAGATGAAGCTCGCCCTCATGGGCCACCACCTTCAAACCCACTGCTGCCAGAGCTTCAACGGCATCGCCATCAACGAGAAGAAGGCGCAAGCAGGACCCCAGCCTAGTGACAGTCTTGTGGTTCACTTTGAAGAGACTGCCACGGCTCCCGACGAGCAAAACCCCGCCGCTCCTCCTCAAGCAGCCGGCATCCCTCTCAGCGCGGTGCTGATTCTTCGCAATATTGCCCGCAATGTGGTCAAGACAAGTGCTCAGGAGGATCTGCTCAAGCAGCATGAGCTTGGAGGTGAGGCTGGTGGCTGGAACGAGCGCCTGTTCCGCAACGTTCTTCCCCGTCTCTACGAGATTATGACCGAGAATAAGGTTCTAGTAAGTTTTCTCAGCTGCTACTTATCCCCATTATGGCTACTGACGCGGAATCTCACAGCGGTGTCACGTTTTCTCCCTCATCGAATTCGCCGAGTCGGAAAGAGATTTGTAGGCGCATTCCAACAGCCTGCCTACTTACGATGCGCCATGCGTGGTGTGACGTTGCAGAGACCTGACTGGGCAGATGCTCTGGGTCCAGTCTGGCGACAAGGGGCTAATTTGGCCTTGATACACGACCGTGGACACCATGAGACTGTAAAAGGTCGAGGAGAACTGCGGCAGATGGCATCGTGTCCCGGACTAGAGAGCAAGCACAAAATGTGGGAAAACGTGTGATAAAAACTGTACTTTTTTTGGGATGGCAAATACCCAGGCGTTGAGGAGGAACGGCCATGAGAATTAGCAAGCAAGATAACGACTTTGTTTTCTTCCCCCCAAGCTGTAGAATAGAATCAATTGCGATCAAGGAAACGCCTCTGGAAATCACTATGAGGATTGTGTGTTATCGTTCTTCTTCAACAAGGCCTTTTTGCTGTGATCAGCCCCAAAATGCACGGTCTCTCATTCGGAGTTGAATCCGGATGACGGGAGTGTGGATTCGCTTGGTTTCCCAGGTCGGTCCCCTCCGTTTTTTTTAGCTCCACGATGCTTGCTTGCCTGCTTGCCTGCTAACCCCCCAGGACTTTTCGGAAGTATCGTGAGTGTGGAGCCCCCCCGAACGAGCACACCATCAATCAGCCAAGAACCTGTGCGTTTTCCTTCCCGCTGTGGAGACGGGGGGCCGACCAACTCAAATTCAACACGTCGTGGAAAGTTTGAGGTCCACCTCACGATAAGGCTGATTTGTTTCTCTCCCGTCGGCATTTGCCCCCCCAAGGTAAGGTAGTGTTGCTAGCTCCATCCCTGGAAGAAGGGGAAAGTCCCACGATCGTTGAGTCTTCCGCGATGATCGTCGGTACAGCTGTCATTTGTCTTTTCTAACGCCAAAATGACATGAGATTACTGGTTCGGTGTGGAAAATGGCTCGGGCCGAAAGATGATCTCTTCGCCCCCCCCCCCCCCCTTTTTCCGCCTTTTCCTGATAATTGGAAACCATGTAAGTGAAGCTGCGATGGCAACATTCCAGGCCTTGGCATCAAGTCATAAGACAACCTTCCAAAGGAGCCATTCAATCATTGCAACTGCGACCATGACACAAGACCTCGAGACCGAGTGTCACCTACAATGTCAACGGCATAACCTCTCTGGAATGGTGGGAGAGCAGCCTCACTTCCCCATATGCCCATAAAATCACTAAGATTCACAAAGGCCACCGTCATGTTGCATTCCACAAGGCTCAAACAAGAAAAGTGACGTAACACAAAAGACGTGTCTTTTCTCTTTGGATTCTATCCTGCGAAACTTCTTTGTCTGATCTGTCCTGTCTACCGGGGGATCCCAGAGTCCAATCCCCAAAAATCATCTTTCTGTCCGTCCCACTCTATCCTCTTTTTGCTAGTCTGGTTGCCCAAAGCCACAGAGGGGGAAACACCCAAAACCATTGGAAAAAAAAGAACCTCTAGTCCAAATCCCCATTTCTTTTGGTTTGTTCCTGTTGACTCCTGAAACTACCTTGCCTGCTTTGAGAACAAACACTTGCGCGAGAGAGAAATGATGACTGACAGACGAAAGTCAAGAGGGCTGAATGGGTGCTGTGCGACCCTTGGACCACTGGGGGGTATAGTCCCGGAAGACTTTTGTCGGATCGGTAAAAGGAAAAAAAGGCAATGACACTAAGAAATCGGCACGAAGTCGCCGTAGTGTAGGTGACCATGTCGGAGCAATGATGCTGGTTCCACTGGTATCACGTCTGCCCATGGCAAATATACCGTCTGTGTGGATCAGCGATGCTCTTCATCGTAGCTGCATGACGGGACGCAGCCCGCAAGCTCGAGACTCGCCAGGTACATGCCAGACCTACCCTAAGGCAACGCAACAAAGCAAAGCCCGGGGAATGGCCGCATTGATGTACGGACTTAGTAGCAAGTGTAACCACCATCGATGATGACGTTGGAGCCAGTCATGAAGCTGGAGGCATCAGAAGCCAGGAAGACGCAGAGACCGTTAAGGTCGTCGACAGCACCAAGGCGGTCCTGGGGAGTCAGGGACTTCCAGATCTTCTTTTGGGCGTCAAGGGCAGGGACTCGGTTGAGGGCAGTGTCCATGTAGCCGGGGGAAATGCAGTTGACGCGAATGTTGTACTTGGCCCACTCAGCAGCAAGGGACTTGCCAAACTGAATGACACCAGCCTTGGAGGCGTTGTAGCAGGACTGCTCCTGGGGGTAGTTGACAATGCTGCCAGACATGGAGGCGACCAGGATGATGGAGCTAGGCTTGCCAGCCTTCATCATGGCGCGACCAACAGCCTGGGACATGAGGAAAGAACCAGTCAGGTTGATGTCGATAAGACGGCGGAACATGGCGGGGTCGTAAGTCTCGGCCTTGATGTTGGAGCTGTTCAAAAGAAGAAGTGTTAGTGGGTCTCGCTAAGCGACAAGGGGCGAATGCTCAGGTGCTATGCGTTTTGTGCACGCTGCATTATGGGGATTATGACGTACTCAGCGATACCGGCAGAGTTGACCAGAACATCAGGAGCGCCGTAGAGCTCAACCACGGAGTCGACTGCAGCGTTAATGGCAGCGCCGTCACGGACATCCACCTTAAAGAAGGTGACGGGCAAGCCAGTCTTCTGGTGCAGCTCGGCAGCAGCCTCGTCACCCAACTCCTGGTTGGCATCGAAGATGACCAGGGCCTTGGCACCAGCCTCAGCGCAGGCACGAGCCATGTAGTTACCCAGACCACGGGCACCACTGTGAACAGGAAGTTAGTCGTGATGTTGTTTGACAGCTCTTGTTTTTTTGGGGCAAATAATCAATTGAAGCAATGATCTCGCAATTGACGATAATTGAAGGGGAGAAACGTACCCAGTGACCACAATGGTCTTGCCCATGACAGAGAGCTTCTGCATCATGGGAGGCATGGAGTCGAAGGTCTTACGGGTGAGGGGGACGACATCGTCATTCTCAGGGCCGGGAACAGGGGACTCGGTGGGAGGGCGAGAGTCGTGCTCGCGGACGGGAATGGAGAAGTGGTCGGATTGACCAGTGCCCTTAGCATCGGGAGCGTAGACAGAGACAGGAACCTCCTTCTCGCTAACAACGTCGCTCTTGAAGGCGCGAGCAGAGACGGAGAAGGGACGGGCAGCCTGGCTGCGTATGGCGACGCGGGGAGCGAAGCGGGTGGTAAGACGGAAGGCAGAGCGAGCGGCGGCCATTTTTGCGATCGGTCAGGTGGTGATGAGTAGGATACGAGGTAGGATTGTTTATGGTAGGGAGGAGGGAAAGAGTTGGTCAACGCGAGAAAGATCTTGACTGGTGATGAAGGTACGAAGATGGAGGAGAGTCGCAGAGATTCGCAGAAGTCGAACTTGATGGGAAGAAAAACAATGATGGAATGCGAATGTGGGTGGGAAAAAAAAAGTTGGACGGGCAAGCAAGTGGAAGGAAGTAGGTGTCCAAGTTGATATAGGTAGGTCCAAAGGGGGGAAAGGGAAGGTGTGGCCCGTGTAAGCTAAGGTAAGGAAGGAAGGGACCGACAGTCGAGACGGTCAAAGTGAGGTAAGCTTGGGAAGGTACAGTACGGTATACGTAGCGTAAGAAAAGGTAGCTGAAGTGGAGGTACCTTGTGTTCGCCGACGCAGGATGATGTGAGGCAGAACGAAGGGTTGGTGGTTTATTGTACGTGCCTCACCTTAAAACGTTGATCACCCAGCTACCTTGCCTTACGCTGAGCTGAAGTGGAGGAGAGCTGTCCGTATCGGTACCGTCACTAAGGTAGCTTCGTACCTTCCTAGTGTTGCAAGTGATGGACGTGGAGATTCTGAGCGTGGCGTGCGGCGATTGCGGAACCGTTCTAGTGCGCGCCAGGGGTCCCAGTTTAAAAAATAAATAAAACAAATATCTAATCACTCCATCCATGAGAAATTCCTGGTGCTGGAGCTCATGTGGGCGTCGACGCGGTGAATGGCATTGTTTCGGCCAGTCGGGATGGCGATGCTGGCTGGGCGAGACGGGCAATTGGGTGACCTGGGCACACCCACTTCCAACATGACTGCGGCTCTACTCTGTTAAGAGACTGCAGATGCTGCATACAGGGGTCGTGGCCACGGGGGTTCTCTCGCTCGGGATTGGGGGCAACAAGATGCAGAGAACACCACCTCACACCACGCGCTTGGGCGACCACGAAGCGGGAAGCACCTGGATTGGCCTTGCCTGGCCAGCTCGCGGGATGAATCCGAACGCTACAGATCCGGCGAGCGTCACCTTACGCTTGGCAGGAGACGGAAGGTTTCGAAGCATTCGAAACAGCGGCGATTGTGAGTAGGTAGGTACTCCGTCAACCTGTATCCGCATACGAAGTACTAATTGAGGCTTGATAGAAATGGCAGGGCGATGCGACTGAAAGGGTCCCGCCCTTTCCCAGCGTCCCTACCTGGTTCCTTGAGGCCAGTTTCCATGAGCGTGTCAGTTTTCAGGACACCTCTCAGCGTCCTAATGGCAAGAGCGGCCCCCATGGTGACCCTAGCAAGGTGTTTGTTTGGCAATCTGGCCGTACTTTTGCACCGAACGGCAGCACCAATACCTTTGGGTTCAGCATCCCATGGAAATCTGGTGTGGACGGGAGTGTGGTGTGGAAGCTGGGATGGTCGACGCTAGCAATGAGGTGTGGAGTGCAGCTTGCAGGCCTGGTGGGTGGCGGCTACTCCGTCCTGCACCTTGCCCGGCTTCCTGTCCGTCAAGCCATCCGGGATGTCTTAGCGTGGAGGACCCCCATGTGAATCCACTCTACCGTAAAATGGGGCCAAGTTGAGAGATCCTGGATATCTACTGTAGCGTTTGAAAAGGTGCAAATACGTCACCGCTGCTTGTTTGACCCGCCGCACGTCCGCCGCACGTCCGCCGCCTCACACCCGCCGCCACAACTCAAAGAGCAGACGAGACGAAAGATCAGAATTGGTTGAGTCTGTCGAGCTTATGAGCTTGCTCATGGTCCCTGAGTCTTGACAATGAGGCTATCAACATACTGCATGAATGTCGGGCCACGGTGACAGCGCATCCGACTGCACCTTGCCAGTCCGATGGGTCTAGATGGGATGAAAGTCGCCGCTGTTGTCATCTTTGCGACCAAAGGCAAGCGGAAAAAGAAGAGAGAAAGCCAAAGCTTAAGTCTAAGTCGCTTTGCCGTTGCTTAGTGTGTGTACTGAAGATAAGGCTATGATACCAAGGTCACCAGCACCGCAAGCGCAGTCCGTAAGTTGAGGTATGGAGGAGAACTGCGTCTCGGGCGTCATTTCCTAGGCCATGGTGTTGGAAGATTTAGAACAACGACATGTCGCGCTGCAACAATTATATGGGGACCCTGCTTGGTGACAGCAACTCTCCGACTGAGCCGACAGTGCTGAAAATTGCTCTCTTCGTCTTGTCATCTCATATGGGAATTGGTTCCTAAGCCATGCCCTCTGTCAGGTATTGTGTGTCGGATTCCGATTCTTACAGAGTTGTGTCCCCGTATTCGATGGTCGATGAGCCCCCCTCCATTATCTCAGTCTCATCCGGACGAGTCTCCAACATCTGTCAGCTTCAGTCGTCAACTCTGTAGGCTGACCGGTGCACTTTTGCATCATAACCATTGTGCAAATGTCAAAAGGACCCACAACGGCCACTTTTAGCTGTAACTCCACAGATAATGACGGGCTTTGCGGACCCCTATTTTTTACGGATCTGAGTTGATGCAGCAGGTGTGACGATTCAGGATTACTCCAGTCTGCCAAACTCTCCATTCTCCCGCCTAACAACGGTACCAACGGCGCGAAAGCTACGCAACGGCTTAGGTGGCAAATACTCGAGTGTCGATCACTGCTTCGCTTGTCCTAAAGACTTTGTTCTGACTAGCCTGCGGGAATGAACTGACGCTATGATGCTGACAATGGAGGTTGAGTCGCTCCAGATCGTTTCTGAGAGCATATTCCTGAGTCTTTGGGCTGGAAAAGAGACTTGCGCTGCAACTTGCCTCTATCTCGAAGAGCATGACGTTGCGTTGCCGCTTTCTAATCGTTTAGACAGCTCGCCATCCAGCTTAATTCCGGCAACGAGCTCAGACCAACAAAGTGTTCGCTGATGATTGAAGCTATGTGTCGGGTCGCAACTTCGGTGCGGGCCGAGTTTCTCAGCCAGTTGGCTTTAAATAAATGTTCTCCATACTCGTAGTCGTAGAGGCTCGTCGTTCAAAGGCGCCACAATGACTTGCTTCGCGACTCAGTGCAGTGTCATGCAGGAACGACAATTGGCTCGACCCCCAGCCTGTAGTCTCATGAGCGCGTGTCTGAGGTGCAATGCAAGCTTGCAAAGGTCTCAGATGTTGTCCGCCTCCGATCTCGCTCCGCACGAAGGCTTCTTGGTTTTGATGAGCGTGTCTTTGAATACCTGGACCGTGTCCACGAAGCTAGCGACGCAAGACTGCGGAATGGCTGTAAGTCAATGGTCAGCTGAACCGAAAAAAATTGATCATATCATGGCGTCTGGGGAACCTGGGGATGCGCGTATGTACAATCTCGTTTTCCATCATCTTTGATCTTCCTGCCGAGCGTCAATTATTCCTCCACCCCGTTCAGAGTTTTGCAAGCTGGCAAACGGACTAGATTGTCACTCCCAAGTGCATAAAAAGGTAGAGGTATGCGTTGCAAGTTTGTCGCAAATCTGACCTGTATATATAGATGGCCGGCCTTTGGGGTATACACAGCAGCGACGGTGCGAGACGTC